AAGATTCAGCTAAACAGCTAACGGCCAATTACGTTGCTGAATTTCACGTACAAAATCCTCGCTAAGGTGATCGCGGACTGATTGAAAAAGGTGCTTCACCTGACTGTATTGTCAGAGCAGTACGGGTTCATCCTAGGGAGGCTATACAGTTGCGCTTATAGCAGACATCATTGACGTGGCTAAGAATGGAAGGAAGACTGGTATCTGTTGCTTGTCGATTTCCAAAAAACATTTGACTCGGTGTCCAGGGGCTTAGTTATTCACATGCTCAAGCGCACGGGGTTCCCGACACGGTTCATGTCATGGATTGAAGGTCTGCATACACACACAACAACCACTATGCTGATTAACGGCTAGATGGGCAAGGAAATTGAGGTGGCGTTTGGAGTACGCAAGGGTTGCCCGCTGGCGCCGTACATGTTCCTGTGCGCCGTGGAACCGTTGGTGCAAGAAGTGGAAAAAGTTGGGGCTCGACATAGCAGGGCAGCGCCATACCTCGGATATGCAGATGATACCACACTGGCCCTGCAGGGGAAACGGCAGATTGTTAAGGTAGTGGAAATTCTGGACGATTTTGAGAAGCGGTCAGGTCTGGCAACAAACAAAGCAAAGTTGGTGATCTTACCTCTTGGGGTAAACCAAGGCAATACGGCTGGGTGTGCTTCCAAGTGGGCGCAACCGCACGAAGCTGAACGGCTGCTATGGATCATACAGGACGGTAGCGGCTTGCTCGCCGAGGGAACAGCACTGGAGGAGATCACAAAGGGACTAGTGATGTGGCAGCAAAAGTATCTCACGGTTAAAGTGAGGGAAGCGGTGGCGAACTATTACATCCAGCCAGTAATGGCTTTCCAAGCACAAGTTTCCCCACAACGTACGAAGATGAAGGGGGAGCTGGAGAGGCTCATACATAATTTATTATCCGGTAACAAGGCAACATCGACCAAGGTTTTCCTGCTCTGGAGCAATGAGCTCTTAACACCCCAAGGCAGGATGGGGGGCTTGGGGTTCAGGACCCGAGCGCCACTCTCTTGTCCTCGCCGCTTGATGCGTCGGCCTGCTGCTGACGGAAACAAATCAGCTCAAGCTGAAGCTGATACTGCAAGCAACCGATCTTCCACTGGGCTTGGACTCCTTCGTATTACACGACCGACTCCAGCAACATTGGGAGGTGAGAAGTCAGTGGTGAAAGCAGAGGTGTGAAACTTTCATAAAATCGTCGCTCAACGTCCGAACAATTTGTTTGATAAGGAGATCAAGAAGGGGAGACTCGTTTTCAACAGAGCGATACTCGTGGGAGCCGCCACGCCTATGGGGGGACAAAAACATGCAGAACGGCTATGGAAATGGGAGCTGGGAGAGCTGTTGAAGCAGCAGCATGATGGTGGTCGTACGTTGAAATACATGGCGAAATTTGCAGAGCAGCTTAGAGGGAAGGGCCTCGTAAGGCTTGCGTTGAAGGCTTTTGCAGCAGCCCCGGAAGAATGGAAAGAGTTGCTGCCGACCCTCTATACGAGGTCGGCTGACTAGGGCACGAGAGGCGAAAAAACGTCTCCCACAGCTGCCGATTCTTGAGGATGGCGGGGTCGTTCCGCTCAAGAAGATAAGAGGTTACTCGAAGGGGGAACGCATCTAGTCGCACCGAATGTCGAGATGGGTTTGTCAGAGGTCCACTGGTGATCCCCGATTGATCCTAAGGAAGGGTTACAGGCATGTTGGCCTTGGGGGTTATGGGCGCACTAACCCGCTACTTAACAAGCCCTTTTATCCCAATGGTCTAGTGGATGGGATTCTGACATGGTATCAGAGCGAATGCCTCGGGTTCGAATCCCAGTGTGTGCACTTCGGGCATCCCAGTGCAGGGGGGTGTCAAAGGTCCACTGGTCATCCCCGATTGATCCTAGGGAAGGGTTACAGGCATGTTGGCCTGGGGGGTTATGGGCCCACTGATCCGCTACTTAACAAGCCATTTTATCCCAATGGTTTAGTGGTTGGGATTCTGACAGGGTTGGGAGGTGGAGCGGCTCCATCAACTGGAAAATAGTCGCGGGCATTCGGGAGTCCCTAAACACCCCGAGCCGACCAAGAGAGGTCCTCACACATGTGTACAATTTCAAAGTGGGGGAAAGGCTGGCCTTTCTTAGCAACAAGCCGGTATGCCCGCACAGTGGAGGGGAGGAGACACTGGAGCACTATCTTTTCACCTGTTCGCGCTTTCAGATAGTGGTGGCTGCATTGAAACGGGCTCTCCGCCTGCTGAACCTGCTCCGCGTCACACCACAGCCTCATTGTGGAACCTCTTATTCCGCAAATCTTGCTCGAGCACGGTTTTTGTTGGAAACAAGTGATTTAAGTGCTTCTGTTGTGTCGAAACACTAAGTCGTAAACGAAGCGAAGAACAACGAAGCATCGGCGAGTCAACCATCGGAGGTTGAAGAAGGAAAGTAACTGCTGGAGGTTACGCAAAAGTCAAAGGTTGGCGACCTTTAACCTGACAAATACAGCGCGACAGCAATGACTAACAACTGACTCGTTATTGAGCAGTTGCCCGAGTCGTCACTGTATCGAACCGCAACAGCAACAGTAAAACGGTTATTAGCTGTATCTCTTCGTATTCCTTGTACTCTTATGAAAACCTTGTATCTCCTTGTTTTAATTAATCGATCTTGCCCTCACATACTAGCGCAAGGTGGTTCAATACTTATCATTAAAACGCTTCCGCAACTACAACATTCTTACTCTGAGTTTAGCCTTGCAAAGATCCTAAGGGCTTTTCTCAGCCCAACATGGTATGAGAGCTAACAAGGCAAAACTCCACTTCGTTCAAATTCCTACAACATCGGAAGGCATGGCAACACAGAAGGAGAGAAGCTCCTCTAACGGCTCTTCTGGCACTACTCCTACTCCACCTCCAGCCTCTGGCTTGCAGACAGAGGTGTCAGACTTATATGACTTAGCCTATGTAGGCTATAGTGGGGTAGCACATATGGGGTACAACACATTTCTAGGTTTTGTACTTGTACCCAACCTTTCTCTGTAAATCATTCCTCATTTCTTCACATGGTATAGAGCAGGTTCCCTAGTGGGAACGCTTCCTAGGGCCCACCACTGAAAATCGGAAAAAAAAAAAAAAATCTGCCCGGAGCGCGAGTCGCCCCTGCCCGAGGCGCGCCCCGTGGGCCGCCCTCTCGTTGCGTCCCCTGCCCTTAGCGGCCCGTCGCGCCCTCCTAGAGGCCCCTCTCACGGCCCCTCGCGCCACCCCTAGCGGCCCCGTCGCCACCCTTCGCGGCCCGTCGCCGCCCCTCGCGGCCCCGTCGCCACCCCTAGCGACCCCGTCGCCACCCTTCGCGGCCCCGTCGCCGCCCCTAGCGGCCCCGTCGCCGCCCCTCGCGGCCCCGTTTCCGCCCCTCGCGGCCCCGTCGCTGCCTGTTACGGCCCCGTCGCCGCCCTTCGCGGCCCCGTCGCCGCCCCTAGCGGCTCCGTCGCCACTCCTCGCGGCCCCGTCGCCGCCCCTAGCGGCCCCGTCGCCGCCCTTCTCGGCCCCTCGCGGCCCCTTCGCGGCCCCGTCGCCGCCCCCCTCGCGGCCCCGTCGCCGCCCTTCGAGGCCCCTTGCGGCCCCTTCTCGGCCCCGTCGCCGCCCTTCGTGGCCTCGTCGCCACCCTTCCCGGCACCTTCTCGGCTCCTCCGCCACCAGCAGCAGCAGCCGCCAGCAGCAGCCGCCGCCGCCGCCAGCAGCAGCCGACTGCAGCAGACGCCGCCAGCAGCAGCCACCGGAAGCAGCCGTCGCCGCCGACAGCCGCGACTGCCGCCGCCACTGACAGCAGGAGCTGCCGCCGCGGTCGCGGCTCTGTCCCTGCCGACGCGCCTCGGCCCTGCCCCACCGCCTGCCGGCCCCTACCTACCAGCCCTGGTAAGATCACTGCCGAGCCACGCCTGCTACTGCTGCCCCTAGCCTGCTGCCACTGCTGTCATGGCTACCCCTAGCGTTCTAGTTTTTGATGCTGAGGGTCGGGCTGTTGACTTTGAGGTCTGGGTCGATGATCTACAGCTTTTCCTACAGTGCGATAGGAAGGACGGTCTCTCACTGTTCGATCTCACGTCTGGCGCCTCTGCTACCCCTGCTGCCGATGCTGACAGCACTGTTCGCTCACAGTGGGCCACACGCGATGCTGCTGCCCGTCTTGCTGTGCGTAGTCACTTGCCGTCCACTGAGCGCGCGCACTTTAGTCAGTACAAGAGTGCTAAGACCTTGTACGATGCTGTCGTTGCACGCTACTCTTCCCCTGCCATTGCTGCCCTTAGCCGCCTCATGTTGCCGTACCTGTTTCCTGACCTCGCCGCCTTTCCCACAGTCGCTGACCTCATTACGCACCTCCGCACTAGTGACACCCGCTACCGCGCTGCGCTTCCTGCTAAGTTCTGCGCCAAGAACCCCCCTCCCATGTACATCACCCTCTACTACATAGTCACCCGGCTCCCTGACTCCCTTCGCTCGGTCAGGGACCACTTCCTCTCTGTTTGCCCCACCACACTCACCGTTGACCTCCTCGAGGAGCGCCTCCTGGCAGCTGAGAAGAGTATAGTCGCTGTAGGAGCCTCTCGTGGTGACCCTCGTGCCCCCTTCTTTGAGGGGTGCTCCCCCTCCCCCCTTTTCCCTCTGTTGCCTCTGCTGCTGCCGTCGACTTCGTTGGCACCGAGTCGGTCGGCGCTGCGTCTGCCCCTAGCGGGAGACGTCGCACCGGCAAGGGCAAGGGGGGCAAGGGCGCTGGAGGGGCTGGCGGGGGCGGTGGAGGTGGCGGTGGAGGCGGCGGAGGGAGTGGGGGTGGCGGTGGGAGTGGTGGCGGGGGTGGGGGCTTCGGTGGCGGCGCTGGAGGCGGAGGCGGCGGTGGCGGTGGCGGTGGGAGCGGAGGAGGAGGCGGTGGCGGCGATGGCGGAGGTGGCGGCGGCGGAGGTGGAGCTGGTCGGGGTGGCTCTGCGCAGCGGGGCGGCTTTGGTGGTGGTCAGCGCCAGCAGCAGCAGCGCACTCGTGAACCGGGAGATGGGGAGAACCGGGAGATGGGGAGAACCGGGAGATGGGGAGAACCGGGAGATGGGGAGAACCGGGAGATGGGGAGAACCGGGAGATGGGGAGAACCGGGAGAACGGAGATGGGGAGAACCGGGAGATGGGGAGAACCGGGAGATGGGGAGAACCGGGAGATGGGGAGAACCGGGAGATGGGGAGAACCGGGAGATGGGGAGAACCGGGAGATGGGGAGAACCGGGAGATGGGGAGAACCGGGAGATGGGGAGAACCGGGAGATGGGGAGAACCGGGAGATGGGGAGAACCGGGAGATGGGGAGAACCGGGAGATGGGGAGAACCGGGAGATGGGGAGAACCGGGAGATGGGGAGAACCGGGAGATGGGGAGAACCGGGAGATGGGGAGAACCGGGAGATGGGGAGAACCGGGAGATGGGGAGAACCGGGAGATGGGGAGAACCGGGAGATGGGGAGAACCGGGAGATGGGGAGAACCGGGAGATGGGGAGAACCGGGAGATGGGGAGAACCGGGAGATGGGGAGAACCGGGAGATGGGGAGAACCGGGAGATGGGGAGAACCGGGAGATGGGGAGAACCGGGAGATGGGGAGAACCGGGAGATGGGAGAGAACCGGGAGATGGGGAGAACCGGGAGATGGGGAGAACCGGGAGATGGGGAGAACCGGGAGATGGAGAGAACCGGGAGATGGGGAGAACCGGGAGATGGGGAGAACCGGGAGATGGGGAGAACCGGGAGATGGGGAGAACCGGGAGATGGGGAGAACCGGGAGATGGGGAGAACCGGGAGATGGGGAGAACCGGGAGATGGGGAGAACCGGGAGATGGGGAGAACCGGGAGATGGGGAGAACCGGGAGATGGGGAGAACCGGGAGATGGGGAGAACCGGGAGATGGGGAGAACCGGGAGATGGGGAGAACCGGGAGATGGGGAGAACCGGGAGATGGGGAGAACCGGGAGATGGGGAGAACCGGGAGATGGGGAGAACCGGGAGATGGGGAGAACCGGGAGATGGGGAGAACCGGGAGATGGGGAGAACCGGGAGATGGGGAGAACCGGGAGATGGGGAGAACCGGGAGATGGGGAGAACCGGGAGATGGGAGAACCGGGAGATGGGGAGAACCGGGAGATGGGGAGAACCGGGAGATGGGGAGACCGGGAGATGGGGAGAACCGGGAGATGGGGAGAACCGGGAGATGGGGAGAACCGGGAGATGGGGAGAACCGGGAGATGGGGAGAACCGGGAGATGGGGAGAACCGGGAGATGGGGAGAACCGGGAGATGGGGAGAACCGGGAGATGGGGAGAACCGGGAGATGGGGAGAACCGGGAGATGGGGAGAACCGGGAGATGGGGAGAACCGGGAGATGGGGAGAACCGGGAGATGGGGAGAACCGGGAGATGGGGAGAACCGGGAGATGGGGAGAACCGGGAGATGGGGAGAACCGGGAGATGGGGAGAACCGGGAGATGGGGAGAACCGGGAGATGGGGAGAACCGGGAGATGGGGAGAACCGGGAGATGGGGAGAACCGGGAGATGGGGAGAACCGGGAGATGGGGAGAACCGGGAGATGGGGAGAACCGGGAGATGGGGAGAACCGGGAGATGGGGAGAACCGGGAGATGGGGAGAACCGGGAGATGGGGAGAACCGGGAGATGGGGAGAACCGGGAGATGGGAGAACCGGGAGATGGGGAGAACCGGGAGATGGGGAGAACCGGGAGATGGGGAGAACCGGGAGATGGGGAGAACCGGGAGATGGGGAGAACCGGGAGATGGGGAGAACCGGGAGATGGGGAGAACCGGGAGATGGGGAGAACCGGGAGATGGGGAGAACCGGGAGATGGGAGAACCGGGAGATGGGGAGAACCGGGAGATGGGGAGAACCGGGAGATGGAGGAGAACCGGGAGATGGGGAGAACCGGGAGATGGGGAGAACCGGGAGATGGGGAGAACCGGGAGATGGGGAGAACCGGGAGATGGGGAGAACCGGGAGATGGGGAGAACCGGGAGATGGGGAGAACCGGGAGATGGGGAGAACCGGGAGATGGGGGGAGAACCGGGAGATGGGGAGAACCGGGAGATGGGGAGAACCGGGAGATGGGGAGAACCGGGAGATGGGGAGAACCGGGAGATGGGGAGAACCGGGAGATGGGGAGAACCGGGAGATGGAGGTGCTTCCGCTTTCCGAACCGAACAGCATGCTGGAAAAATGGCTTTGAGACTTCTCACAACTGAGCTACGCTAAAGGAAGGTCAGCCACTCACGCAAATCTTGATGAACTGGATCCAGTTGCCGATCTTGGTCTCCAGCTCCTCCCACTGCATGCGCAGCACGTCGTCCCGCGTCACCATCTCCACGCCCAGGCGCTTCAACGACTGCTCCAACGAGTTGCCTCGCACCTCCCTGTGGGGGGAGGAGGGGTTTCGGGAAGGGCAGGAGGAGAGGAAGGGTGCAAAAGCTGGGATGGGAGAGGCAGCACATCGTCCCGCGTCACCATCTCCACGCCCAGCCGCTTCAACGACTGCTCCAACGAGTTGCCTGGCACCTCCCTGGGAAGGATGGGGGAGAAGGGGGGGAAGGGCAGGAAGGGGAGAAGGAGATAGGAATGGAGGGGAGGGATGAGAAAGGCAGCACGTCGTCCCGCGACACCATCTCCACCCCCAGCCGCTTCAACGACTGCTCCAACGAGTTGCCTCGCACCTCCCTGGGGGAGAGAGGGGAAAGGGAAGGAAGAATGGAAGAAGGCGCAAGGGTGGAATGGGATGAGGAGGGGGAAGTAGAGAAAAGAGGGAGTCACCATCTCTACGCCCAGCCGCTTCAGCGACTGCTGCAACACGTTACATGAAATAAGATTGGTTTTGACAAGTATCAATACCAGTGGCTTCAGCGACTGCTCCAACGAGTTGTGTTGCAGCGCACCTCCCTGGGCTGGGAGCAAGAGGAAGGAGAGGGGAAGGGACGAGTTGAGGAATGGTGATGCCTATCCTCAGTCGCAACAACTTTTAAAATTCAGACACCTCTCGTCAACCCATTCACACCGCACTCAACCACCCTCGCCTCTCGCCCATCCACACCGCGCGCCCATCCACGCCCCTTCATCTTCACACACATCTCCCATCCGCACCGCACTCAACCACCCTCGCCTCTCGCCCATCCACACCGCACGCCCATCCACGCCCCTTCATCTTCACACACATCTCCCATCCGCACCGCACTCAACCACCCTCGCCTCGCGCCCATCCACACCGCACGGCCATCCACGCCCCTTCATCTTCACACACATCTCCCATCCGCACCGCACTCAACTCAACCACCCACGCATCCTTCGCTCATCCATACCTGCACTGCACACGCGAGTGCACACAAAAGCAGCCCCGTTTTGGATCATACGCCTCGCCACCGCATTCAACCGCTCTATGAGCGTGGGGGGCAGCAGCAGCACAGGCGGCCCCTTGCCCCCTTGCTGGGCCCGATGCCCCCCTTGCTGCTACCGATGCTCACCCATCTGAACCGCACTCAACCACCCACCTGTACACGCGAGTGCACACGGAAGCCGCCCCGTTCTGAATCATCCTCCTTGCCACCGCATTCAACCGCTCTATGAGCGTGGGCAGCAGCAGCACGGGCGGCCCCTTGCCGCCCTTGCTGGGTCCGATGCCCGGAATCAGATTCTCCGGCGTCTGTGCCGGCGGGGGCAGCCCCGCCAGATCGATCCCCAGCTCTGGCATCGCCTCGATGATCTTCAACACGTCCATGGGCTTGCTGTTGGGGGGTGTGGGGGATAAGACGAGGAATTAGCATGGAGGGAAGGGGGGCAGCAGGTGAGGGGGGCAGCAGGTGAGGGGCGCAGCAGGTGAGGGGGGCAGCAGGTGAGGGGGGCAGCAGGTGAGGGGGCAAGCAGGTGAGGGGCGCAAGGGGGCAGCCCCGCCAGGTCAAACATCAATGCCTCTACGCAGGAGCTCTGGCATCGCCTCGATGATCTCCAACACGTCCATGAGTTTGCTGCAGCAGATGCGGGGGGGGGGGGGGGGGGGAGAGGGGATGGGAAAGGGATCAGGAGGGGCAGCCTCGTCAGGTCGATCCCCAGCTCTGGCATGGCCTTGATGATCTTTAACACGCCCATGGGCTTGCTGTCGGGGGGTGTGAGGGTGGGTAGGTGGTAAGAAGAGGAAAGGATAGGATGACGTGGAAGGAGAGGGGAAAGAGAGGGGATGCAAGGGCGGTGAGTGTGGGTTCGAATGAGCCTCTCATCCCCACCCACGCACCTGTTGTATCACCGCCGCTCTACAACTCACACTTGCACCTCACATCCGCCCTACACTCACAGTACCCACCTGTTGTTGGCAAACCGCACCCCCCAGCTACCGCCGCACCACCCACCCACCTGTTGTTGGCGAGCAGCTGCCTGAAGTCCACGCGATGGACTTCAAACACACCCATGGCCTCCTTCATCAGCCCATGCGCCTGCAGAGAGGGGCTGGTATACCTCTAGGTCACACCACACTGCCCCACACCCACACTCACACCAACCACCTGTTATTCGCGAGCAGCTAGCAGAACTCAGCCTCCAGTCCAGCATGCCCATGGCCCCCCACTCGCCTCCAAGGGAGGGGTCAATGCTCCGTCGACCTACCGTTTCATCTCTTGTCACACCAGTGTTGCCCCACACCAGTGTTGCCCCACACCAGTGTTGCCCCACACCAGTGTTGCCCCACACCAGTGTTGCCCCAAACCAGTGTTGCCCCACACCAGTGTTGCCCCACACCAGTGTTGCCCCACACCAGTGTTGCCCCACACCCACCTGTTATTGGCCGGCAGCTGCCTGAAGTCCGCCTCCAGCAACCCCCTTCAGCCTGCACACACCACACTGCCACACACCACACTGCCAGACACCACACACTGCCCCTAACATGCGTGGACCCACCTGTTATTCGCGAGCAGCTGCCGGAAATCAGCTTCAAGCATGCCCATGGCCTCCTTCATCAGCCCACGCGCCTGCAGAGCAGCGCCCTCCGACGACTTGTAATTGCGGTGCGAGTCAAAGAACAGCAGCGCCTCCTGTAGCATGTCCACCGCTGCTAGATACGCCTCTAAGTCTCTACGCGGACCGTCCTTGATTCGTTGTTCCACCTGTCGTGGTCATTCATTCATTGGGAGGCGGGAAAGAGAAGCGAGGACGGAAGTGGAGGACTTGTGACTGCGGTGGGTGGGAGTGGACGAAGGAAGAACAGCAGCGCCTGCAGGGCAGAGCAGCGCCCTCCGACGACTTGTGGTTGCGGTGCGAGTCAAAGAACAGCAGCGCCTCCTGTGGCATGCCCACCGCTGCTAGGTATGCCTCTAGGTCACGACGAGGCATGTCTTTGATCCGTTGTTCCACCTGTCAGTGCGAGGGGGAGGTGAAGCATATGGGTGGGTGGGGAGGATGCAGAGGAGTTATAGTTGCGGTGTGAGTGGAAGAACAACAGCGCCTCCTCCTGTAGCACGTCCACCTCTGCTAGATATGCCTGTAGGTCGCGCCGACGGCCGCCTTTATCCTCTGCTCCACCTGTCATATGGGAGGGAAGGAAGGAAGAGGAGAACTTCCCATCCCATCAGCATACCTGCTGTTCTCTTAATGCTGCCATGCGAGTAAGGGAACAGCAGCGCCTCCTGTAGCATGTCCACTGCTGCTAGACTGATTTTGAAACAGTCTGCTGCTGGGTGGTTCGCAGAAACCCCTGCTGCGTGCAGGAAGGTGTGCTTGCAGGGCACGACGTGCAGTGGGCCGTTCTTGCTGCATAGCCGCTGCTCCTTTACTGTCCTGGCAGCCAACCGCCCCCCCTGCCACCGTCTCACACCCCCCCCTCCCTCCGCTGCTGGTCCCATCATGCCCAGCGTCCCACCCACCTGCCACCGGCCCACCAGCCCAGCAACCCAGCTCACCTGCCCACCTGCCCACCCGCCCACCAGCGTGCATACGATCCCAGCGTAGCACGCCCATCGCCCCCCCCACCTGCTGCGGGATGTCGAGCTTGTCCTGCACCGTCTCCACGGCCCTACCACCCTCGCTGCTGTCTGTACCTACCACCGTATCATGCTTACTGCCCCCCCTGCCACTGCCCTCCCCACCTGCCACTCCCCCCCCCCTCCCTCCCCCACCTGCTGCGGGATATCAAACTTATCCAGCACTGTCTCCACAGCGCGGATGGTGCCCGTGCTGCTGTCAGTACCCACCGTATCATGCTTGCTGCCCCACCTGCTGCTCACTCTGCCCCCCCTCTCCCCCCTTCCCCCCCACCTGCTGCGGGATGTCGAACTTATCCAGCACCGTCTCCACGGCGCGGATGGTGGTGTCGATGTTGGCGTGCGCCTTGCGGAAGGCCAGCGTGCGCGCCTGGGGGAGGGGAGGGCGGGGGCAAAGGAAGCAGCGGGGGCAAAGGAAGGGGCGCGGGCAAAGGAAGGGGCGGGGGAAAGGAAGCGGCGGGAAAGGGTGATGGGTGAGATGGGTGCAAACGAGCGGCAAAGAGGATGGTGGCGTCGATGTTGGCATGCGCCTTGCGGAACGCCAGCGTGCGCGCCTGGAAGGGGAGAGATGGTGATGGGGAGGGGGATGGGAAAGGGGATGGGAAGGTGGATGGGAATGGGGAGAGAGGGGGGGAGATGGGGAAGATAGGGGGAATGGCTGAGATGGGGGGATGGTGGCGTCGATGTTCGCATGCGCCTTGCGGAACGCCAGCGTGCGCTCCTGGGAAAAAAAAGGGGGGGAGGGGGGGGGGAAGGTGGTGGGGGGGCGGGAGGGGGGGTTGGGGTGGGGGGGAGGGAGGAAGTGGGGGGGAGAGGAAGGGGGATGAAGGGATGGCGGTGGGGAGGAGAATGGTTGAGATGAGTGATGGTGGAAGGGTCTGTCGGGCAATTCAACAACGCCCTTGCAGCCAGCCACTGCCGAATGCTATCCGTACCTGAATAGGTGATGGGGAAGCCACTGACGCATTACCTCCTTGTGTAACACAGTTGCTTACTCACACCCGCATGCGACTCCGTCGCGACACGCGCGCACCTGGATGGGGCGCATGGCAGTTTCGAGGTTGGTGAGGCGCGTGTCGAAGGTGTTGAGAATGGTGATCATCTCCTCGCTCACCGCCTTGCTCTTCCCCAACACCTCGCGCAACTGCCCCGCCTGCGTGTTCAGCCGCCGCACTTCCGCCGCGGAGATTACCACGCGCCTCCGCGCCGGCTTTGTGACCGTTGACGGCGCCGAAGGCGGCTCGTGGTGGTCGTCCCCGCGCCGCGCCTGATGATGCTGGCGCGCGGCGGCGCGGTCCGACGCAGGGGTGCCGCCGCGATTCATGGCTGCCGTGTCGCGGTGGTAGGAACTTTCAGGGCTAGTTAAATACTTAATCCCCGACGCGCGCGTAACGCCTTGTTACTCCTTCCAACTCGTGGTTACTGCGGCCCCCGCGGTACAACACGTTCCGCTTTCGAACAACTCGTTTAATGCTCTGGAAGGGCGCTGCGAGAACATCAGTTCGCGAAGGCGGTTCTTTTCTTGGGTCCACTAACGCACGACGTAGGGTGGATTGATAGTCGAATAGTTACTGCAGCGAACTTAGGGTGATGCCGCGGCGGTAAGACGCGCGAAACCAGGGTCAACGCAGGGTCAACGCTGGTAAAGAAGAAGCAATTATCACGTTCGAATACACTTTATCTAACTAGCGCGTTATGAACTAGCGCGACGCGGAAAGTACCTATGACTAACGACCGTGTCTGTCAGCGCTACAGAAGTCACGTTGACAGGGACGCGTGGGCGGGCCAACTAGCTATTCGCGCCGCTCAGCCTGCTCTGTTTGTCTCGCACCCCCTCGCACGCTGCAGGGTCATTTCCCCTCATCACAACAGTCCAGCAGCAAGAGCTGAGGCATGCCCGAGTATCGTGCGACAATCGTGCGCGATTACGGCTCCATCCGCGGGGTCATTTCCCCTCTTTCTACCTCGCTGATGGCACGGCAGCCGTGCACTGGGAAACCGACTCCAAGCGAAGAATGGACGATTTCTTGTACCAGGTAACCCGAGAGCCCGAAGGTTACACAGCCACATCCAGTACAATAAAAGAGAAAGTATATTCATGTCCTTTTCGAACTTTTAAAATATGTAGAACTCTTGAATAGATTATGATGCCATTCTTGCTGCCATGTATGTTGTGTCTACTAGTGATGAGGGTGACTGTTACCTGTGTGTTCCGCCTGACCCGGGCATTGAGGCTGCTGCTCTAGGTGCTAATGAGGCTGCTGCTCTAGGTGCTAGTGCGTCTGCTGCCCCAGGTGCTGGTGAGTCTGCTCTCTCAGGTACCACGTCGGCTCAGGCCTTACACACCTTCACCCTTGACTCGGGTGCTTCCCGCTCCTTCTTTCGAGACCGCACCACGCTTACGCCGCTTAGTCGGCCAGTTGCGGTCTCCCTGGCGGACCCCTCTGGGGGTCCTGTCCTTGCCCACTTCTCCACTGTCTTACCGTGTCCGGCGGCCCCCTCTGGCACCCTGTCAGGTCTCTACCTCCCCTCGTTCTCTACAAACTTGGTGAGTGGTGCTGATCTACAGGATGGGGGGGTTGACCAGTTCACTCCTGCGAGTCAGCGGGTGACCCACTGTACGTGTGCTCGGACGGGCCGACACTTGGCCACGTTTACCCGTCAGCCGGGGTCAAGCCTGTACACACTGACTACTGAGTCTCCTCCGGTTGCTGAGTCTAGTCAGGTAGCTGCGTCGGGTCAGGTGTTTGTTGCAGCGTCCAGGTCTGGTCCTGAGTCTGCTCCATGCTCGTGTCGTCTCCTGTCCCACCAGACTCTCCTCTGGCACCACCGCCTTGGTCACCCCTCCTTGCCTCGTCTCCGAGGCATGGCCTCCCGTTACCTTGTCTCTGGTCTCCCCCGGTCCCTCCCTCCCCTCCCTCCGGGGCCTGCCCCTACCTGCGTTCCCTGCGTCGAGGGGCGGCAGCGCGCCGCCCCTCACTCCTCCGAGTTTCCTCCGACAGAGGCTCTGCTGCAGACTCTTCAGATGGACGTGTGGGGCCCCGCCCGCGTCCGTGGCCAGGGTCACGAGCGTTACTTCCTGTTGGTGGTTGACGACTACTCGCGTTACACCACGGTGTTCCCCTTGCGCAGCAAGGGTGACGTCGCTGAGGTGTTGATCGCCTGGATCTGCGCAGCTCGTCTCCAGCTCAGAGAGAGTTTCGGCCCGGACTTTCCTGTTCTGCGTCTGCACTCTGACAGAGGCGGGGAGTTTTCCTCTGCCCTTCTGGGAGCCTTCTGTCGTGCACAGGGCATCCGCCAGACCTTCACGCTTCCGGCCTCTCCACAACAAAATGGGATTGCTGAGCGCCGCATTGGCATGGTCATGGACGTCGCTCGTACGTCCATGATCCATGCGGCTGCTCCCCATTTTCTATGGCCGTTTGCGGTTCAGTACGCAGCGCATCAGATCAACCTTCAGCCCCGGGTCTCCTTGCCAGAGACCTCCCCCACCTTGCGGTGGACGGGGAAGGTTGGCGATGCGTCTGCGTTTCGTGTCTGGGGATGTCGGGCGTTTGTACGCGACTTGTCTGCGGACAAGCTGTCCCCCCGTGCTGTTCCCTGCGTCTTCCTTGGCTTCCCCCCTGACGCACCTGGTTGGCAGTTTTACCACCCCACCTCGCGCCGTGTTCTGTCCTCCCAGGACGTCACCTTTGACGAGTCGGTGCCTTACTACCGTCTCTTCCCCTACCGCACTGCGCCCCTCCCCCCGCCGCCGCTCTTCCTTGCGCCAGGTCCCCCCCCGGTAGACCCTCTCCCCCCTCAGGGTCCTGCCCCGTCAGGTGTGTCCCAGGTAGACGCAGTCGAGCCTGTCGAGGTAGCTGTTGACTCTGGTGCTGCTAGGGGTACTGAGCCTGGGGGTGCTGAGTCTGGGGGTGCTGAGTCTGGGGGTGCTTAGCCTGGGGGTGCGGAGCCTGGGGGTGCGGAGCCTGGGGGTGCTGAGCCTGGGGGTGCGGAGCCTGGGGGCACGGAGCCTGGGGGTGCTGAGCCTGGGGGTGCGGAGCCTGGGGGTGCTGGGTCTGCTCGTGTGGCCTCTGGCGGTACTGGGTTTGGGGGCCCTTCTGGTGCTTCGTCGAGGCGGGAGCTACCCTCTCCACAGGAGCTGCGCGAGTGGTTTGCCCGGCGCTGGAGCCGTGCTGCTGGAGCTGGAGGTGCTACTGTTGCTGCTGACCCTGGGGTCGGCACTGGAGTTACTGGAGACACTGGTCCTGGAGGTGCTCGTACTAGCGGTACTGGAGCTGCTGGGACTGGGGGTGCTGCTGGGGCTGCTGGAGCTGGTGCTGCTGGAGGTACTGGAGCTACTGGGCCTGGAGGTGCTCCTGGTGCTGGAGCTGCTGACGGTACTGGAGCTGGCGGTCCTGCTGGAGTTGGAGCTGCTGGAGCTGGTGCTGGCGCTGGAGGTGCTGCTGGCGGTGCTGCTGGCGCTGGTGCTTCTGAGGGTGCTGGAGTTGGCGCTGTTGGAGTTGGAGGTGCTACTGGTGCTAATGCTGCCGCTGGGGGTACTGGTGCTGTCCCTGCTGGTTCTGGAGGCGCTGCGCGGCCGCGGCCGTACTTTGTTCCGCTCCTTGAGCAGGTTCTTGGTCTTCCGCCTTCTACTGGTCCTGCTCCTCCCTTAGAGTGTCCACAGCCTGTCCAGTCGCAGTCACAGTTACAGCCCGCCTCCCCCCTGCCTGCTCCTTCTCCCTACACTGGTCCTACTGGAGGTCTTGCTGAGCGTCGTGAGCCTGCGTCTCGTCCTGCGTTGCCTGTTCGTGCTGCTCGCACTAGTGGTCGTGCTCCGCGTCCGCGTCCTCCTGCGGTCCCAGGCACACACCAGATGGCACTGCGTCCTTCCACTGCTCCTCTGCGTGTCCCGTTGCCGTCTCCTCCAGAGTCCTCTCTTCCTGTTCTTGCTGACCCGGAGTCTGACTCTCTTCGTGCTGCCAGTCCTACTGTTACGCGTCTCCTGGCTACTGTTGTCACTGACCCTTCCTTTGAGTCCACTGCTGCGTCTGCCTTAGTCGCTGTGCTTGTCGACTTTGCTGCTCGCTGTCGTCTAGACTACGCCGCTAGTCTCGTTGCTGAGTCTGAGTCTGTCTGTCCTCCGTCCGTCGGGGGTGAGTGTGCTCTTAGCACGGACGTCCTTGAGGACAGGCAGGAGGAGTTCCAGTGTTTTGCTGCTGCTTTGCCTCATCTCGTGTCCACGCTGATTGCCCCTGAGGGAGACCCGGATGCACCAGACATCCCGACTCCTCGATCGTACGCTGAGGCGATCGAGGGTCCCTACTCCTCACAGTGGCAGTCAGCCATGGACGCAGAGATGGCTTCTTGGAAGTCCACAGGCACCTACGTCGACGAGGTTCCCCCACCTGGGGCGAACATCGTCAGTGGCATGTGGATTTTCAGGGTGAAGCGGCCGCCGGGTTCTCCGCCTGTCTTCAAGGCGCGTTACGTGGCTCGAGGCTTCAGTCAGCGGCAGGGAGTTGACTACTTTCAGACCTTCTCTCCCACCCCAAAGATGACCACTCTTCGGGTGCTGCTGCACATAGCCGCTCAGCGCGACTACGAGCTTCACTCTCTTGACTTCAGCACAGCTTTCACGCAAAGCAGCCTGCACGAGGAGATCTGGCTGCGCCGCCCACCTGGCTTCACTGGGTCGTTTCCCCCTGGTACCCAGTGGAGCCTCCGGCGGCCAGTCTACGGTCTCCGCCAGGCGCCCCGTGAGTGGCACGACACACTGAGGACTACACTTGCGGCTCTTGGGTTTGCTCCTTCTACTGCCGACCCGTCGCTGTTTCTACGCACCGACACCTCTTTGCCGCCGTTCTACATCCTCGTGTACGTCGACGACTTGGTCTTTGCCACAGCTGACACTGCTGGACTCGCCCACGTGAAGTCCGAGCTGCAGAAGAGACACACGTGCACAGACCTGGGTGAACTGCGCAGCTACCTTGGCTTGCAGATCACCCGGGACAGAGCACAGCGCACCATCACACTGACTCAGTCACACATGGTGCAGCAGGTCCTTCAGCGCTTCGGCTTCACCTGGTCCTCGGCACATGCCACTCCTCTGTCTACTCGCCACTCGCTCTCAGCTCTGCCTTCGGATGAGTCCGTAGAGCCGAATGGCCCGTACCCAGAGCTTGTTGGCTGCCTCATGTACCTGATGACCTGCACTCGACCTGACCTTGCATACCCTCTTAGCATCTTGGCACGCTATGTTGCTCCTGGGAGACACCGACCAGAGCACATGGCTGCAGCGAAGAGGGTGTTGCGCTACTTGTGCAGTACGTCAGGCATGGGGCT